AGACACTAATTATCACTTCACATTTTCTTTTTATTTTTAATTATTATCTTTCTTTTTTTCCACCTCCACCTTTTCCATAAACATTGTATTTATCATTTAATTTTCTACTACTTACCTAACCATACTCCAAATGGTTTAGTTTTAGGAAATGTAATACAACTATTTTTTTGTGACGAGAAAAATCTGTAACCACTACTCAAAGATGTGCATTGATAAATCACACATTATGATCCTAATTGACAAAGGACTACAAAAAAAAAAAAAAAAAAAAATCAGCAGCCTAGTATAGGTTGATGGTTAAGTAGGTCTCACGAGAGACAACCTTACACAATACTAATTTTAAATGTTTAGAAAATATAGTACATCTATAATAATTTGTATAAGTTCAAAAAAAGTATTACAAGTACATTTTAATTAAAAAGTATTACACATCTTACATGAAACAATTTTACACAATTACATACACAAGATTTATTCTAAATATTTAGAGAATAAATATCTATCATGTTCTAAATATTGATGCTATTTTTTAGATTAAAATTACAAACTAATATCCATTCAATGATATTATTTATGAGCTTTTTAAAACGAAAATTTTTTAATCTACGTTTACTACATTTGGAAGAGTTAACTCCACTGTTAATAAAAAAGTTAATGTAAGATAAATAATAATAATAATAATAATAATAATAATAATAATAATAATAATAATAAATTTTAAGGTGTCGATCGACATACTGTCTTTTTCACATGGTACAACTCCAAAGGGAATGGAAAATGCTTTGAGTTTGTATTGGGTACTATTGAGACAACACAAATCATGTTCTAGGGTTTTTGACTTGTACTATGTACAAGTGGAATAGGTACCAATCGACACTATAGACTTTTCTCAATGATACGGTTAATTCTCAGTTGTACGTAGAAAGTAAACCGTATGTATGAATTGTAATGTATGTGTGAACAATGTAGAGTAGACAAGAGAAAGTAGCTCAAAGGATCTTTTATTCATAATTGTGTTCTTGTGTGTTTCTAGAGAGAGTTGAAAGTGAATTGTGTGTAGAGAGACACGGTCGTGGAGGAGAGATAGGGAGGAACCCTTTACAATGACGGCTAATGGCCTTTATATAGGACTTGAGCTGAACCGTTTGATCCCGACCCAAACAGGAGCACGGAGCGTATCTCGCTATCGTTAGACCATCGGGTCTCTTAGTGTCCCTCCGTCTGAGACTTTCGATTCGTAAACTTCTATTGAAATTGCCTTAGGTGATTTTTTGTAAGAGAGTATATAACGTTGTTCTATTTTAAAGGTATGACGTACCACTAGTACATTTTTTTGTTAATCAATTTATTTGCCAAACAATCTCAAATCAATTCACTAAAGAATAGATATAGGTATAGTAGAGAATAAACTTTTAATTTGTTTAATTTCCTTTTGTTTGTCTTCAACCATTGCATCCTAAGAAACCGGTGATTCCAAATGAAGAGATTGGTGCAGACCAATGGAATGGTTAAGAGGCAATGTGGTGAGTCCGACAACTCCCTATTTAATGTAATCATCTTCCAAATCTAAATTATATTCAAACCTCAACTCCACCCAAATGATCATTAAATGTTTTTTTGTCATTTTCTCCCCCTCTTGTAAGTATTTTTTGGGGGGTGGTTATAAATTTTGACCCCCAAAATTATTACGATCTTGACTAGTCATAATCATCGAATTCAACGGTAAAAATATATCGAGGTGGTCTGTGAAAATGGACCGGAGGCATGTGGTAAAAAAAACACAAGTTTTCAACACTTCGGATGCTACATGTTCGTTTACTGGTTAGCACAAGGTTTGGGGATATATGATGGGTTTAAAATACCAATTTCTAAAAGAGGCTTTTGCCACACAAATTTCAAACCCTTTTTCCTCAAATTCTACTTTGGGATTCACCTTTTCATATGCCCCAAAATTCCCTCCTTTGCTCATGTGGATCATGCATGTCATCTCCTATGCACAAATTATTCAATTTTCGCTTCGAGGGAGTGACGGATTGAGTGGAGTATAATTCTCATACTTCAAGATTATCAGTGTGATTCTTATTAATATTTTTTCAGTCGAGCATGTGACATAGGATTTTCTTAGTGCGATTTATATATCACGTGTGTTTGTGGGCTATTGCATCGAAAATGTTTGTGAGCTATTACATAGGGGCAGAGTTTACCCATCACACACTAAAGTTTGAGTTTTCTTGCCAACACATTTTTGGTTGAGCTCGTCGTATAAGGTATTCGAAGTGCGATTTACCTCTCATGTGCAGGCTATTACACAAGATGGGCTTGTCACAAATGAGCGGAGTTTACCTGGCACACATCCGAGTTCTAATTTGATTCCTATCAACACTTTCTCAGTCAACACCATTGCATAAGATCTTCTTAGTACAATTTACCTTACTTACTCTCTCAGTCAACACCATTGCATAAGGTCTTCCTAGTACAATTTACTTTATTCATGTGTTTTTGAGTTATTACACACAAACAAAATTTACCTAGTACACACCCAAAAATTTCCTTCCTAACCAAAAAAAAAAACAGTTTTTCATTTTATTTTTTAATAATAGTCAATAGATACAATAGTTGTAGTCTTTTAAAACCAAAAGAGTTTTTTTTGGCAGAGAAGCACGAGTGAGGCCCCCCTCAGTCCTTATGGTCAGTCTTTGAAAGGAAAAAAAAATTGAAAATTTGGTCTAAAGATGGGAGTCTAAAAATGGTAGCAACTATTTGAGATCCGAGCTGAGGTCGGTTCCAGGGTGTCATTCACATTTCACACCCACTATTTCTCTTCTTTTTTAACCTTATCTATCATTTTTTTATTTATTATTTTTACTGCTGCAAACCCAATGCACACTCACTATCTGCCATATGACCCTTTCCGTATATCTCTCTGTTTTCTAAGATTAATTTCATTTCAGATTTTTTTTTTTTTGAAGACAATTTCATTTCAGATTCAACTAACACCCTTCCTTCCTTTACATCTTTATTACACTACTTCAATTTCTGATTAATATCAGCATTTGGCAGCCTTGGGTTGCCAAACCCAAATTTTCAATCTATATCTTACTCTACTACGGACTATAATATTACCCACAAGTCCACAACCAAATCCACAATGCAAACTTGTAAATCTATTGCACACCATAATAACGATAGGTCCTTGTGCGCACTGATATTTGGTATATCTATTGAACTATTAAGTCACCGTGATTTACATTCTCTCAAATACTATATCAGGTCGGAGTGTGAAAAGCCCTTGAGATTGGGGATTTAACCTGTTGGGAGAAGAAGCGTTAGATAATGGATGAATAATAAGATTGAATCACACTAATAGTGGGATTTTTGTTGTGTGCGAGTGTTTGGTAAATGACTGTTAGTTGATTGGGGTAGTGAGTTTGACTAGTTGATAGCATTAGCTGATTGTAAAAAAATATTTGGTAAATTAGTTGTTAGTTGTTAACTGATTACATATAAAATGTCTTTTTCATAAAGCTACTTTGAGCAGCTTTTTGAATTTTAGCATTTTAAAGCAATAAGTTGTTACAAAAAGCTAATTAATTGAACATTCATATTGATTGTTTAACCAAGTCAAATGACTAATAGGGGTCAAATAAACTAAAATTAACTGATATGCTAACTATTTTACCAAACAGGACATGTGTGTGAATCAATAGTTATGTTGTGGAATCGTGTTCACCATGTGCATGGTGAACACATGATAGATCTATAATTTTTAAATTGTAGATTCATAACTTTTATACTGTAAATTCATAATTTCTATACTGTACTGTAGATTCATAATGTCTACAGCATAGAAATTATGAATCTCTATAATTTTTATACTGTAAATTCATAACATCTATGCTGTAGGTTTATAATTTCAATACCGTACTGTAAATTCATAATTTCTACATCATAGAAATTATAAATTTACTCTGTGTTCACTATGCGCGTTTCCCTAGTATAATTTGCGTCTGTGAATAAAGTGTGCTGCGGATCACCGCATACAGAGCCCAACTATGCGGCTACACTGTTGTGAAGGGTCGCAGCATTTCAAGTTTATTATTATTATTATTATTATTATTATTATTATTATTTTGTTTCAAACAGTACTGCCCACCAAACGCATTTTCGATAAACATGAAATATGGTCACAATGAATATCTGTGAAGGGAATCAGAGCAAGCCATCATTCCCATCAACATGTATATAAATTATACCAAAACAAATTTTACTTTTAATTATCAATTGTTGTGATATTATCATATTTAGTCATTTGTTTCTCACAATTTACTCTTTTATTTAAATTTGTCACTCCACTCTTAGCAACAAAAAGTTAATTTGTAATTGTATTGTTCAAATTTCTTGTCCCAACATGTAATTTCTATCTCTCATCTACTCTTTTAAATGATAAAAGAGTACATATTACAAATGTGACAATACCATAACAATTAAGAGTAAAAGTGAAATTTGTGTACTAATTATTGCACAGTAATTCATTCTTCCAAAAGGAATTAAACCCCAAACCTAAGGTTCCCCCACACCCCGGCCCGACAGAGCAATTGAGAGGATGTAAATCATGGTGACTCAACTAAACATGAACCACAGAGGCTAGACCGGTGCTCACTACGCACAAGGAGCCCCCTCACTTTAAAAGATTGCTCACACACTGTCACTGGTGAGACTTAATCCTTGGTCATTCTTCCAAAGTTTCACCCCTATGACCAGTTGAGCTACCCATGCGGGCATTGCACAGTAATTCATAGTTATGCAAAAAGTGTAAATTATACAAAAAAATATTGATTCTTTAAATATAGTATAATAACATATGTTTTCGTTTGGCAATATACTTTTGAGTTCATGTTTAATTCACAATCACTACCAGCGCTTGAGAGTACAAAATCCCAAATATATATATATATATATATATATATATATATATATATATATATATATATATATATATATATATCAGAATTCAATCCCCAATAACTGCTTTCAGAATGAAAAGATGCTGTCATTTGAGAGACTAAGTAATACAATGAAACAAAAAGGAAATATGGCGACTAGTGGCTCCCAGCAGTTACATAATAAGAGTTGAATGTGAAACACATCATATGCTATATGATTACAACCCTAGTTCATACACAACACCAAATTAGCGAGCACATGACATTCAAAGCCCACCTCCGAAAAGGAGAGTATAATGATTTGTTGGCCTGATAAGATCAAGGCTCATCCAACTGATCCTGCGTGTAGCGTAAAACAAGAGTTCAAGAGAAGCACCTCACTAGGTCGTGATGCAAATGTGAGAATATGAACAAAATGGTAATTTCCAAAGAGATTTCATGCACTAACCTGGGCATCAGAAGTCCAGAGGGTCAGATTGTCTCGTAGGAGTTGCATTATGAGGGTGCTATCCTTGTATGATTCCTCACCCAAGGTATCCAGCTCAGCTATGGCTTCCTCAAATGCCTATATAGAAGCATATATACGACAAAGTCAATTACAACAGGGCATACAACCTTAAGCATAACTGATGCTAAAAATAAACATTATAATGTCTCCATCAAGTACAAACATATGGACAAAAAGCTATCTGGAACAGCATAAATCAAGACAAAATATTGACAAAAGAAAATGGTGAAGTACCAAGCACTGACAGTAAAAGTCAGAACCATAAAACTTGGATAGAGAAACTACATTTCACCATTAAACACTATTGGGTCTTCAGAAAGGGCATTTTGGAGAGTCAACCACTTCATAAGCATTTTGATGATACATGAGATTTAAGATTATGTTGTCCGACCATCAGGAAAGTAAAACAATTAAAAACTTGTAAAAAGAGGACTGAAAAAGAGTGAGGTTTTAAATGAGCTATTGTAAAGTTGTGCAGGCTATGGCAAGTTCCACTATAACAGACAAAAGCACCAGTTAAGTATACAATTATGGCTAGAAGGATACAATTGATAAGTTCATTACAGATTAAAAAAAAAAAAAAAAGACCCCTAAATTTCAATGAACAATTGATAATAAAATTACTGGATCTGATAAATCAAATTCAGAAGCCTTTCATATCCTTCTCCTCTAGGTACTAGGTAGCATAATGTATCAATATCAGAATGATGTAAGAGGTTAGAAACAGAAAAATGTTTACCTGTTTTGCCATGCTACATGCTTTGTCAGATGAGTTGAGAATTTCATAATAGAAAACTGAGAAATTCAACGCCAGACCCAGTCTTATGGGATGTGTTGGGGACAGATCTTCCTGAGCAATTTCCTTCAATGGTAAACATAGGAAACAACACATGTTTAGAAGCAATTCAAATTCTTTGAAAATCTAAACAATACAAATATATGGCCAATGATAGAACTTTCTTTTCACATTTACTAGAGAAAGGCAACAGCTGTAATACACGGGACAAGCTCCTCTCCAGACCCAATCACCACATACCACTCCCAACTTTAATGTGATTTTGATGCATCACAAGTACATATTCCAACCATTGTTGTTATTTATACTTTTTCCTTCTCTACTGTGAAATTGCTGAATGTTTTTTGGTTGGGGAAGGGGCAATTAGGTAATTGCAAAGTATGCAATTTAGACAGGAAAAATATGCATATTAGATATTGTTAATGCCTTTGGAGCAGATTTAGACCACTTGTCACAATCTCATTAAAGGTCAGGAGAGGATCCAGACCCAAGTTTCAAAACAGCCCAACCCTCGAAACCGAAGTTTAATGGATGCAGTGGCATGCAGTACATTCCGGCCTAAGTATCCTAAGTCCTAACCATGCTAACCAAGAAAACCAGAGGCTAAACAAGATATCAAAATTGTATACCAAAGAAAGAGTCTGTAAAAGAATTCAAACATGAAGTATATATTATAATGCAACTCCAGATTGTGATCACAAGTTGCTCCAATTAATTCAAACCCCTATGCTTTAAAACATAATTACAAATTTATAACTAAATTCCCAACATTGAAACTAATGAAAACCATCTCACTCCACACCCCCTCCTTTTAGGTAAGAACATCAAAAGATTGAGTGGCACCAAAGCATTCTAGATACAAAACAATAAACCCTAAAATTTCCATTAGTCTGTAGAATATATGTGCACATCCATAACAAAATCAACTTCTAATATCCAAATTAAATCAAAATCTCAATTGATAAGGTTGAATTGCTCCAAATTGGCAAATTAGTCATCACCATAAACTTATAACAGAAATCTAGCACTCTACCAACGATATCTCGATTCAAATTCAAAGTCTCAGCACAAATCTTAGTGACTTAATAACTACGGCAGATGTGATCTAAAAGCACATGATACCTCACTGTAATCTTAATCCATACTACAACAATAGAAGCAGTGCAGAGTTAAAGCCCTAATTGTGAACATAGATTGAAAAGCACAAAGCAGTCTAACTCAAAACAACAGTAATCAAGCAAGTACCAAAAAATTTGAAATTAGTCAACCTGAGCAGCCTTGTAGGAGTTCATAGTATCATCAGCAGCCTCCTTTCGTTCATCTCCAACCTTGAACTCGGCGAGGTAGCGGTAGTAATCGCCCTTCATCTTGAGGTAAAACACCTTGGACTCGCTGGAGGTAGCCGAGGGAACCAGATTTGATTCAAGCAGCTTGAGGATGCCGGCGCAGACCTGAGAGAGTTCGGTCTCGACCTTTCCTCGGTAGTCCTTGACGAGGGAGACGTGCTCTTCGTTCTTCCGGGACTCCTCCTTCTGCTCGATAGATGAGACAATGCGCCAGGCGGCTCGGAGCGAGCCGATAACGTTCTTGTAGGCCACGGAGAGGAGGTTGCGCTCCTCGACTGTTAGCTCCGCGGCGGGGGTGGAACCGAGAACCAGCTTGTCCATGAACTGCACCATCTCCTCATAGCGTTCCGCTTGCTCGGCGAGCTTAGCCAAATAGACGTACTGCTCGCGCGACAGGTTATCGACGGCGGCCGCCATTTTCGTAGAGAGAGAATTGAAAAACAGGGGAGAAATAGAGAAGAGAAGAATAATGACTTGGCTTTTTCTCTGATTTTCTGCGGACAGTTTTAGAGCGACATTCAGATTCCTCGGGGCAAATAAAATATTTTCTTTTTAAATCAACGCTCAAAAACCCTACCCTTACAATCGGTATTTCTCGTACAAATTCAAAATAATTTTTTTTTTTTTTGGTTTAGTGTAAGAAAAAATTAATATTGTTAACTTTTTACTGGGTACAAATTTAAGCATTCGTCATTTTGTTTGGGATGGATTAACACCTTCAAATTCTCCATATATATATAAGACAAATTATATGTATTTTTAAAATTTAATCTTTTAACAATTTCATGTTAAATTTGAATTTGTTTTATAAATTTATATTCAAACTATAATAATAATAATTCGATTGAATGTTTTAATTTTCATATATGCTTATTTTTAGTATACTAAAAATTTATTTTTAATACTCTGTATATTACATGTTCATTTTTAATATATTACTTAAAAATAAATATTCAATATTCAATATATTAAAAATTAAATTACAATATAAATCATAATCTGCAGTATTATTTTTTATTTTAAAGCAACCATGGTCCACAATATAACTTGCCCCATTGGCCATTGCCCGCCGTTGTTTTTGACATAATATACAGCCAAAGTTTCCTTCTTGCACATCATTTTCAAGAAGAGGAAAGAGGCTATATTGGAGAAAATCAATGAAGATAATAATAGGCTATTTACTTCATAACAATTGCCCAGCCAAACAGGTTAGACACATATGTGAGATCATATAATTCGCAGCTCCACCGGTCACAAAGGTGAAATTTGTTACAAGAAACCAAAGATGACAGTGTGGGTGTGCATCCTAGGATGGGCAATTCCACCTTGTTGGAAAACAATTTGTTTACGCACCTTTTGTGAGTTTGTCACAAGAGATCATATGAGCAATAAGAAGATCAATGGCATTGCATATGTCAAATTTGTTTTTGTACAAGAGCAAATGGTAGATACATAAGCCTCTATAGTAAAGATCTACTACCAAGGTACAAATTCATCCGTGTACTTGCAAAGTTGCAATTCACTGAAATATGATGCTGTAACAAAATGGTAAATGAGTTCATCTTTGTTTCACAATACCGAGTGCTTCATCCCAAGACCATTGCACGTCAAAATAAGACCCTTGTAACGGTTAAGATAATCCTTCGGTCACAGTTGGAAGATTGTATCAGTGATCGAGCAAGAGAAAACAAACTAGACATAAACAAAGGGGGTATAACTTACCACTATATTGTAGTCATAGGCATGAAGTGTCCCTTTCCTATCATATTCTTGACGTTTCACTGGATCAATCAAAACTGTTACAGAGTCGAATTAAATATCAGAAACCATATGATTTGGCAATTAGTAGGCACTGCTATGAGTTATTGAAATTGCAATCTGATGAATACAGAGGGTGGTGAAACTTGACTTAAAAAGTACTCCATAAAACGCATGTATAAGCTTAAGTTGAATTAAACTACCAGGAAGACATTCTTCACCTCATTATGTATGGCATAAGCAGATTTGAGAGTCAGGTATAACAGCCATATAGTTACTAGGCATTTAGATTAACAGTATCATCTACTTGAAAGTACTTATGTATGCAAGCATTGAACACTGTAGCAAATTCGGCATGTTTGTCGTGTTGGCTACACGAGTGTTTTTCTCTCTAGTCCAGAACAGCAGTAAACCATCTTACTTTTAACTTTTAAGTCCCTATTCTTCCCTTTCCTTTGGTCATCATTTTTCTATATTCTTCCCATTTGATATATCTTAATTTATTTATATACATAAAGTAATAGAATGTGTCCATAAAATGATTAAACTTATTTATAGCAAGTATCACCTAGCTTGACTATTTAGACATCAAGAACTCCCTAGAACTTTTTGTAAAGTGAGCTCTCACTAAAAAATCAAGAAAGCCAAGTAAACTGAAGATCCCAAAAGTTTTCTTGTCAGAAGCTTACATGCGTCATGTGTGCAAACATCTAGCCACAACTTTCCATCCAAACTTCAAATGATCAACTTCTATAATTTGGTTATAAGGCAATTCCAACGGGTTTTTTTAAAAATAAAATAAAAATAAAAAAGGGCATCCCTTTCACACAACTTTCTGAAAATTTTCTTCAATTTTGAACTTTTGATATGTTGGTCAATGACAAAAACATTTGCATTCTTACACTTCCGAATTTAACTATTTAAGGGCTGCCACTCTTCTCAAGAATTGCTGAGATTAAGCACTGGTATTCATATTAATCCAAAATATCACATATCCACAAGCAACTAAAAACTTGCTTGAAAAAATTATGTGAATTCTCCAAATTGAACAGTAAATCAGTATGGTTGGCACTTGGCAAACATCCAATGCATTAACCATTCTGTTATAACAGGAATTCCATATCTAAATTAATTCATCATCATAACCTGGACTTCTCAGGATGGCTTTTACCTAAAACTGGTGCTACACTAATCCCTAACATATAAGTTTGTTAAGCAGTTAAGTGCATTGAAAGGATTATATTCCAGAGTCTGTCTCGTTCCACATTGTTGCTATCCATAACATTTACATCTCACAAAAAACAAAAAAAAAAAACAAAAAAAAAAAAAAAAAAAAAAAAAGGAATAGGAATAGACATGTAATTCTTCTGCTCCTATGTTCAATGAATAAATTATCCAGCAAAATGTCATCTCTACAGTTTTAGAAGGGGAATAAGGTTCCAACAACAATAGTGAATAATGCATTACGTCAAGCTGATAATGGATAGACGTTTTCCAGTCATAATAAACCAAGAGGTATAGTAGTCAGCAAGTAGAAAAGGAGGATAATAACCTTGATAAGCTTCGTTTATCTCTTGAAATTTCGAGGTGGCACTGCCATGATCCTTTTGCTTGTCTGGGTGCCATTTCTGTACAACAAACAAAAAAAAAGTTAAATTCAAAAAGCTAGAGAATAGCTAAATAAGCTCAGTCAAACCTGCAAAAAAAAGGAAGAGTGAAGGAAATATACAAACCAAAGCGAGACGGATATAGTTTGATCGAATGGCCTCCTCCGTAGCATCGTAGTCCACTTCCAGTATCCTATAATGATCCTATGCAACAACATTCACCATATTGAAACACACACATTTCAAACCGCATAACAACAAATATGGAGAAAACAATAACAATCACATAAAGGGAGAAAAAAAATACCTTAGGCGCAGAAATAAGAGATAAGAAATCGAAGTTAAAGTGAGGAGATTCTTCTTCTTCCTCCCCGTCTCGCCGCCGTTGTCGTTCCTGGTGCCGACCACTGCAGTTGTATTCTTCTACGGTTTGGACCTGCCGGAAATCGCCTTCCCAGTCATCCCACATCATCTCTTTCAACCAAAATTCAAAGGAAAAGGAATGAATACTTGCGTATCTACGCCGTCGGCGGCGGCGAAGCAGATGGAATAAGGATGAATTGATTTATCCGATTAAAAAGGCATCAGTGGAATCAACACGACTTCTAATTTGTAAAGGAAGTGAACAGAAAACAAAATCCGCTAGGAAGACGGAAAGATAAATTGTTGAAGTTAATAAATTGCGGAAAATAGGTGTAGTCTGAAGAATAATTTGTATTATTGTGTACAGAATAGTTCGAATTGTTTAAGAATTGAGATTGAGGTGTCACCACGTAGCTCTTGTTTGGGTCAAGACAGTTGCGTTTATCTGTTCCGATTTCCGAAAAGTAAAATGTGATCAAATCAATGGGAGGAAATTTTCTAGGCTTATGGGCCAAGGGAGCCCTGCATAGGCCCATTCTGTCCATCAGATCCTAAACAAGTTTTGAGCCCATTGTTGTCTCCTTCCTCTATTCCAATCGTTATGCCATGGAACCCTGTTCACCATTCATGGTGAACACGGTTCTAACAGTGTTAGTACACCGTTATCTTTCTTCTTCTTTTTTTTCTTAATTAATTGCGTGACTTTTTTTTCTTTATTTTCACATTTCGCGGTTTCACTTTAATTTGAGGTGAGCAATGATTTCGGACATTCATAAATTATGAATTCATGCACATTCACTTTGGAACCATGTCTACACATTCCTGTCCGAAATCACGGACATTCATAAATTATGAATCCATGCCTGCACATTCACTTTGGAACCATGCCTACACATTCACTTTGGAACCATGAGGTTATGAATTTTTTGTTATAAGATTATGAACTTTCAGTTATGAGATTATGAATTTTCTGTTATGAGATTATTAATCTACATTACATTCATAATCTCATAACATAAAATTCATAATTTAATAAATATTTTACTTTTTATGCGATTATGAATTTTCTGTTATGAGATTATGAATTTTCATTACATTCATAATCTCATAACAGAAAATTCATAATTTGATCAAACACGCGCCGTTAACTCCACATTCGCGATTTTTTTTTTTTTTTGCCTAAAAACGACGTCATTTGGACTTGTGTTCACCATTCACGGTGAACACGTTTCCAGGGCATAATTTGTGCCTCTATTCTCTTTCCTCCAACTGTGCAAAAAAAAAAAAAAAAAAAAAAAAAACATTGTGACAGTTAGTGTATCATGTGTTAATCACTTAGAAACATAATGTATCATTGGTATCGTATTATAATCACTAGTTTTTTACGCGCATTGCGCGATTGGGATAATGCCCAATGTTTTTTTTTTTTTTAATAAGTACTTTAAGGTATATCAAGACAAGATTATATTGAAATTGTTCATGCATAGATAATTGAATGTTAAATTTGTGTATTTAAATAGGTAATTCTAAGTTTACAAATGCAAGATAATATAGTCAATATTGAATTATTGATTATAATTGTCAATAAAATAATTGTATAGATATGGTTGAAATCAAATACGGGACATAAGGGAGAGCAAATAAAAATTAGGATATAAAATATTAAATATATACTAATATTGAAGAGCTAACTGCTGATTGTTAAACAATGACACTTCAATTTGTTGTGTAATTTGAATACTCTTTTTTGTCAATAAATCGCCCAAATAGTTAATATGATTGGCTTAATTATATTTTTTTAATTTTTTCAAATATCTTTTTATCAACCGTTAATATAATTCGCTAATCAAATCCGCTAATATAGACCTTGTTTGGTTAATAGCGAATCCACCATTATTTGGCAAATTATTGGCTGGACCATGGTCCAGCCAAGTTGGCTGGACCATGGCCCAAAACGGCGCCGTCTCTTCATTTAAGGAGAGACGGCGCCGTTAGACATCATTTTAAAAAATAATTCTAACGAACGTTGGGGTGTTCTTCGCGTATCTCCGACAGCTTCTTCGACAGTTTCTTCGCCATTTCTTCGCGCATATCAACCGTCTCCGACGCCACCTCCAGCGCGCCCTACTACAAACGAACGCCACAAGAGATTTCTTGTACACCATTTCCGACGCCATCTCCATCTACTGATTAGGTACATTTTCAACTACCTAGGTTTTAAAATTGAGTTTTGAGTAGTTGCTTTTGTGATTTTTGAGTAGTTGTTTTTTACTGCCTAGGGTTCTTACTGGCTTTGGAGTAGTTGTTTAGGATTTCTTTTCCAGGTTTCAATTGTTTAAAGTAGACACTATATTCATTACAATAAAATTTCATATTGTTCTGCACAATGTAAACAATGGTCCTAAAGCATTGATGGAAATAGTAAAATTGATGTATCAAATCCAGCATATTTGAAAAGGTTTGGAGAGTTAAGGCTTCACAGTGAATCTTTACTGTCTGAATCCCTGAACACCTTACTGCCCTTTGAATCTTGGATTTTTCTGTGCCCAGCGGGCTTGTTTTCTACCTCAGAACGTAGCTTTTCCAACTGTTTGGGAATGATAAGAAGATTTTCATAGCTTCTGTTAGTCAGATTTATGGTGAGTGAGGGTTAAAGAGATGTCAAGAAGAAAAGGGCAACCCAGCTAACAATAATAATGCAGTAGGACATTATATATATACCTGCATAAGCAGAGACTGGTTTTCATTCTTCAGGTAATCAAACTGCACATTTAGGTTGTCAAATTTGGCTTTAAGCTCTCTGTAATCTTGCTCTATCTGCTTTGCCTTCCATTTCCCTTCCAATATGGTCTTCCAGTGGGTGGAGAAATGACTAGTGATGTTATGGCACTCTTGCTTTAGTTGTTGGATTTGTGGGCATTTTCTTATATATGTAGTCACCCATGCAAGAAGCTAAGTATCAACAACCCACTTCTAATAACTAAAGTTTTGCACCATGTCACGGCGCTAGCTCAATTGGTTCGACCCGTCACCTTAAAGTCTTGGTACAAAGGTTCAAGGGGATTGTTGGGAGACCTTGACCAATCAAAAGTGAAGGCAGAGCCTACATGCAAAGGGTGAGAACCTGGGGACTGACGGATAGGAACTCTAAGAGATTAGGATTATTCTGATCTAAGTTGAGAAAGATTTGCACACTAAACTCAAAAATCACACTTATTCTTACTCTAAATCTTAATGGATGAGTGAATTACAAGATGCATTTGGATGTTAGGCTCCCAGGCAGTTGTGTAGGTGGCAGCAAATTAAAGTGAAGTGTTATGTGGACCCAGTAGCCATTAATATCGTGTAGGAATGGTATTTTCCACCCTTTCATATTTGGACATCTCACATATCTGAATCTCTGGTATGGTATGCTATTTTCTACCCTTTCATATTTGGATAGGAGACAGTACTAGGAAATGGCCATAGATAAAAGGTTCAGGAAATTATTATTGTGTATGGATCTTTTGTGGAAGTGGGTGTTAGATCTGGCTACATTGTTGCAGAGCTTTTTGAGGATCAGAGAGACTATCATTTTTATGGTTTCTTCTGCTTCCTGTCTTTTGTATTTAGACTTCAGTGGCTAATGATTTACTGTCTTGTCCTCTAGATGCTATTCTCCCTCTCCACACATTTCTGTACCCCTATGAATCAAACCAATGCTTGAATAAGTTCTATGAGCCATGAGGTATATAATCAAATATCAAATATGTGTGTGTACTTTATGGGTTGTGATGTCTGTGGGACTTTTGAATGAGTATGGGATTTGTACAGTACATGAATTCCATTCCCAACTTCTATTTGGCTTTGAGTGCAGTGTCACCTTTCCTTATATGCATTAGGTACATTATTTTAACACATAGGGTACATTATTTTAATTTATTATTTTTGTGTACATTCAGATTTGAAAGTTGTTTTTTTTTTTTTATTAAGGTACATTATATATGTTCATTAGATACATTATTTTAAACCACAGGGTACCCACTTTTATGCATGATTTATTTTGTACATTTTGTAGTGCATGGAGTTTATTCTTTTAGTGAATATCTTATTTCTTTGTAGAGCATGACTATTTTAATTCATGATTTTATGAGCACTTTTAGTGAATAGAGCATCGCTGAATTTATTCCTTTAACTAACATTTTACTTGCAGCAACTATGTCTAGCCAAGAAGTAGATTTATCATTAAAAGAGGTTACCAAAACCTACCGGAAAAGGAAAAGATCTACAAGTAATGAAGAAGACGGAAATAAAGAAAAGGCCACTAATAGGACTATAAAGAAAGAAAATGCTCCAAAGAAAATTCAGCTCAAGACTAGGATGTCACCAATGGAGTTTAACAAAATGGTGGCAAATCTTAGTGATGAACAAAAAAATGCGGTTAAAGAGATTGGATTTGGATCATTACTAGAGCTTAGATTGTCCAGCATGGACAATACACTAAATACATATTTGGTAGAAAACTATGATGTTTGTAGTTGTTCCCTAATGTTGGAGAGTGCAAAGATGGAGCTCACAGAGGATGATGTGGAGAGCACATTAGGTCTCCCGAAGGGTGAGGTTGAAGTTGTTGAAGGGAACAACTCAAATGCAACTGAAGAATACAAAACCTTGTTGGAGGAATGGAGAACACGCTGGGAATTAGACAATTGTTCTCCATTGGTGAAAAGACTTGGCCATGGTATAGTTGAGAAGAAAGACCACGGGGACATGTTCAAAAGGGATTTTGTGGTGTTTGTTGTTTCTAGTATGTTCAAGGGCCACGCTAATTGGACAACAAACTTCAAAATTTTGTACTCATTGATAGACGTGAAAAACATCAAGAATTTGAATTGGTGTAGGTACATTTTTAATAGTCTTACTACAACAGTGGAGAAATGGAAGAAATCAAAAAGTACATTCTTCACTGGACCATTGGTCTTCTTGATGGTAATACCTTTAATTCAATTTATGTTGCTTATTCTATTAATGCATTTTTTGCTTTCATACTAACTTATTTTATTTTATTTTATTTAGGTTTCATACCTTGATAGGATGCAATTTAAAGGGCAGCAAATCCCAAGGAAATACCCTGCGATATCAGTTTGGACAATGGATATGGTCCAAAAAAGATTAGCAGATGAAAAGAATTCTGGTGGGTATGGCAGGGGAAAAGTCTTGGATAGAGTTAGGAAATCGGTTGCTGAGATTGAAAACAACATTGTTGGGGATGGGGTGGAGGCACAGGCAGTTGGTGATAAAGCTAAAATGAGTGATGTAGAGAAGATATCTATGGGAATGAAGAAACTAACTGCAGCCATAGTTGAATTTGGGGAAGTAATGGCTGAAGTTGGGAGCAAAAACACCGGACAAGAAATTATAAAGAAGACTTTTAGCAAGATGTCTGATATGCTGAACATTGCTTCAACTTCCCAGCCTGACAAGACTTCGACATTATTGGACGATGATCCAATCTTCAGCAGCGAGAGCTTTCTTGCAGCAGTTGCATCATTGGAAAAGGCAGCAATGGAAGCATTGGAAAAGGCCACCACAATCACCGAAGAACCTGTTGATCCTGAAACATTTTCACCACCACGCTTCAATTTGTTAACACCTACCCCCCGGATATTCAAAAACCAAACGAAACAACTACTACACTCCCTGGTGAGGAAAGAAGCACAGAAAAGGAACAAACATTGTTTGACATGTAAGTTAAACTCTAAAAGTTGTGTTTCTGATTAAGATACATTATTTCTGGTCACTATGTACATTATTTTAATGAGTAGGGTACATTATTTTTATGTGGCAGTGCACTTGAGGAATCAGAGAGGGAGAATGTCCAACATGGGGAGAGAGAGAAAAGAAAATTGAAAAATGTTCCATTGCGATTGAGGTCTCCATATTGGACGAAAAACAATGAAAAGCTCTCCTTTGTCTCTGCGAAAGAGAAGATGCTGTCTGATTTTGCATTCATGGAACCGTCTATTCAACATCCAATAGAGTAGGTTTTCACTTTAATTATGTTTAATACTAATGTTTGTCTTTAATATGTGTTAAAAAGTTATTTTTCTTGCAGTGAAACACTGTTTAGGTATAAAAGGTACCACATTGCAAGGGACCAGTTCTTGACTCTACGGGACGGTGAAGTAGAGAAGACCATTATAGATGTTTGGAGCTTAAGAATGAATTCTGAAAATATCACTCGTGGAATGGGTGAACCAAAATGCATCTACTTCACCACCAATCCTTTTGTAAGTGCTTGAACTTTCTCTTATATTAAAAAAGTAAATTGATAATGCAAGTTCTTATTGATTATTAGTTTTTCTGCACAAAGTACATTATTCTTGTTCACAGGGTACATTATTTCTGTTCACAGAGTACATTATTTGTGTACATAAAGCTTTGGTGTATATAATACAGAATTTGATGGTGTAATATGTTTACTTAGTAATATAATTTTGTGTTCAGATGGAAATTGATGATGCTACTGAACGGAAAATAGAATTCTCTGCAGAGGAAAAACAAAGACGGTTCAATGGATCTTTGGATTATGAGATTAAATTGGCCTCTAACATTGACATCTCTGATGCTGAACTGGTAATTTATCATGCATAATATTATAAATTAATAAATTATGTGAAATTCATTTTATATACACTCATTGGATATACTTTTAAAATCATATGTATTTAGGTTTTCTTCCCTGTTATACGCTATCATCACTATTTCATCATGTGCTTGAACTTCAAGAAAAGGGTTGTCCAAGTAGTTGACAATAGAACACTGGGCAAGAATACCAACTTTCTACAAAGATATGATAATTGTGATCAAAACCTAGTAAGTTGCAAAATCTAAGATTGTTATGAGTTTAAATTGAATACTGTTAGGTACTTGATATATTATAATGAACATTAACTAATGTGCAGGTTAATGCATTCAAAGAGTATTGCAAATTTAAAAGGATCACAACTTTGTTAAACAAAATGACAAAGCATGATGATGAAGATGATGTGTTTAACCATGAATTGGTGAAGATGTCTTGGAAAAATGCCACTAATGTTACTGATTGTGGAGTTTATTGCATGCGTCATATGCAGACCTTTAAGGGTAATGGACCGAATTGGGAATCTGGATTTAACAGAACACCTGCAAATGTAAGTACTGTGATTTAAAGTACATGTTTTTCATTTTTATAAATACCTAATTGGACTTATATAACTGCCATTTTGGTTGAATATACATGCAGGCAATATTCTTGACATCTTTGAGGGCAAAATATGCTGCCGACATATTATTTTTACCAATGAATGAGCACAAACAATCCATACTACAAGCAGCCCGTAATCTTTATAAGTAGACAATGATCATTGTAATTGATGGTTCTAAAATGTTAGATGAATATTGTTGATTTTTGTGTTAGATGAAATTTTTGGTTGAACAATTCAGAGATGGTGCTGAATTGGGTGCTAGCTAGTGATATCAAGATATGCTGAAATTGTTTATGTGTTAATTGCTTTTCAGTTAGTTGTTTTTCAATTAATTGCTTTTCATTGTGGAGTTAATTGCTCAATTAGCAGAAGCTATTGTGGAGTTACTCATATGGTGCATTATTCTAACTCACATAGTACATTACCAAAATTCAAGTGACTACAATTGCAATGATACATTTTGTTAACACATAGGGTACATTATTTTAGATCACAAGGTACATTATTTTAACCCACTGAAAACATTTTATTAATGCATAAAATCAAAAATATGTTTTTAGAAACTATAAAAAAGTAACATAAAATTAAAAGTCAAATTTA